GAAGAGGCGTACGAACCACACGCACACCTTCCTGGTTGCGACAGTGCTCACCGGCTCGATTAGGCATCAAGATGTATTGGGCACCTTGGGCGTTTGATCTCGTTCGAAGGGCGTATGATTCGGTGAACTGGACACCGGCCCCCAGTGGACTGCAGACTCTGAGTGCCGTCCTGTTGTCTTGCAGGTCTGGTTTTCCAACCAAAGGCTTCGGGTGGGAACCCCGAGGCTATCTCCCTTCCCCTCGGCCAGGGCAACCGGGAAGTAACATGCCCACACAACCTATGATCACATTCTTCAGATTGCTTTCTGTTCATATGCTGCGGCACATTCGCCAGTTCTCTGTAATTGGTTTCGTGTTGAAATAATAAATAATATGTTATAGCAAGTAACTAAGGGCTTACTCGGGGGAAATTCATTGTTCAACACTTGTCTAGTGCCCTTTTAGAAGCATCTACAGTATTGCGGCCTACCACTGCCTTTGGCAACCGGTTCCACGCCGGAGTCACTCTGTTTGTGAAAAGGTCGCCTCCGGAAGCAGTCTAGAATGGTTTCTCTGCAGGCGCAGGTGATGTTGTGCTACATCAGGCGTGTACCGTCGGGCTCACTTCTTTTTGAATTTACTGTGGAAGAAACTTTTCCCCTGTGGATTTTCGGATTTCGTTTTCACGGATATATATATACATGGCTTCCTTTATGGATGTGTACACGAGTTATTGGTCCGCGCACCAAGTGTACAGTGTGAGGGTTGCATCGGGGGGCTCCGTGTCTCATTTGCTGTTGTATTCTGCATATGAGATGACAACAGTCAGTAGTTGCTCGAGAAAGAGAGAGAGGGAGAGAGAAAAGTGAGAGCCCGGAGATGTAAGGCTGTATTCGTTTAACAACTCTGGCATATCCCAGGTAACACGTCGTCGGACAATGGCGCACTAATAGCCGGTTACATTTAAGCTACAAATGAACGACGACACCAAAATTGTAACGCATTTGTAGCCCATTAGTCTGCTAATAGCGCGCTAATAGCCGGCTACAATAAACTACATTGCAGAACATCCCAATTTTAGTTTTCCGCCTGAAGTCGGACAATTTCGCCATCTGTGATCCCCTGTCAACCCTATATGGATTTACTATCTCATCTTGGACTTCAGCCCTTTTTGCGTACTGATTAGAACGCACCTAATCACAGAATTAGGACACCGAAAATAAGAGTTATTCCATGGAATTAGTTATCAAAGGAACCGATAAGAGTTATGATAAATCCGTTTTAAAGGTTAATTACTGTTGAACATCAAATGTGGCTGATGTAGCTCATAAGTAGCTCCTCGTGGCCGATCGATGCTCTACGCTGTGCTACCTGGGATAGGCTGAAGCGTGTAAAAGATAGATGTTATGAATACAGCGATATGCAATAGACGAAGAGTGTGATATACAACATTCTCCTCAGGCCTCTCTGCTTCTTAGGTTATAAGGACAAGTTCGTTGTTGTAATTCTAAAAGTGAAGGTTGTTTGCAATTGGCGGGCTGAGGGGAGTTTGCAGTCTGAAGTGAAACGAAATTATCTGTCGATTGGTTGTGTACTGTCAATAGGGGCATCATTTGATATAGATTCGATGAACAGAGGTTCGTTGACTGTTGTTGGACACGATGATGGTCTAGGGTCTAGATGATGAATAGATACCGTTTCTTCTCTGCCATTTGGCAGTCTAACGTGGGCATGCTTTGGATTGCATTCAATCAGCTCTACCTTGTCGAGCAGTGTCTCGTACTTCGATACTTATGAGAGGCGTTCCATTAAAAACCGGTCCACGGACAGTCGGCCAACTTGGCAGTGGATTTGCGATTATACTCAAAGAGGCGTTCATGAGGGGACTGGTTGGTAGCAGTACACACGAGGGAACGAAGAGAATGTAAAACATCAGGAAGAAGAACTTCCCAATCGCTGTAAGATAACGATCTCAATTTGGCGGCTAGGTTTATTGCACGCCAAAGTGTACCGTCGAACAGCTCAACTTGTTCATTACTTTGAGGGTTGTATGCGATGGTTCGGCTAGTTACGATTCCTTTAGATTACAAAATGGGAACAATGGTTACCTTTGAACACGATTTCCACAGTATTGCGATAGTTAGTCACACCGTGTGTATCGTTATCCGTTTTTATCGTCGTTTTTATTCAGTGAGTACTGAGCTTTTTATTGATTGGATTCACTGGTACTCGGAGATACTTATTTTACTTCATCTAGAATCTTAAGAACCTAGGATGGTAAGAAAATTTAATCTCCAGATACACATGAAGACTACTGAGAAGTTATTCGGAAGGAGAGCTTATTCAATCGATGTTCGACCAGGCAAGTACTGAATGTTTTGCAGTAACCAATTTGAGAATACTGATGTAGATTTCAGAGTGTCACCATTTGTCTTGAAAGCGCAATCCAATAGTCAGTCTGAGTATTATATTGAAAAAACTGTTTTTGTGTGATCATTGATTAAGTGATCCTAGATTTAGCCCCGGTGCTCCGGTAGAATATTGATTTCTCTTCCTCTTTATTCAAGTGACATTATTCAGTTTTTTGTAACACTGTACATTTGAATGTCGTTGCTATTTGGACCATTCAGCGTTTTGTTCAAAAGCGCCTGGAGGTTTCGAGGGGAAAGGAGCCTTTTGGAATTTCCCTAATTATGTCAATGAGCACTCGAACTGGAACAATCTGTGTAGCGATTCGTATTTGCATGCACGTGTGAACATAATGCGTGTTTTTTTATCATTCCGATTTTCATTCGAAAGGGGATAATCCGGTTCAATAGGTGAATTGATGTTCAAAGCATCAATCACGAAGTTCAATCTCCATTTAAGCGTGAGGCAGATAGTCAATTGAGTACGATACCATCGGGGAGCGTGGGGTCGGTATTCATCAAGTAAATTCCTCTGGTTCTGACCAAAGGATCCATCCCCGTGTTTTAACTCCGTAACCGATTCACTTAATTCAGTCAGAACTTGTTGGTTTTCCCATACATGACCTG